ATCCAAAGTAATGAATTTTTTAATAATGTAGTTAACTTGATTATTTAATTTTAAATTATATAGTAAATAATCTAATTTATCTCCTACTTAAGCTACATTCTATCTCATTGGTTGAGCTTATGCCGGGCACGGAAAACAATGTAGGTCATCAATGCAATATTAATTAAGTACTAAATATTACAAACATTAAAATAGATTTTTTTTAAAAAATTATAGAAAATATTTGCAAAACACACACAGTTTAATAGTTAGAAGAACATGCTCAAGATAAATGAGGGAGAGCCAATCTAACAAACACTTTAGAACTCAACCTTAAATTTATTACTAAATATGTACAAATCAAAAGCATAGATTAATTGAGTCATTAACGGCTAACTATGTTTTGCGAGAAAAAATGCAACATATTTTTAAACAATACATTTTTTATTTGAGTTTCTGACAATATGTCCCATGTAATATTTTAATTACTCGTTGTTTCATCTTGAACTATCAATGTAGGCCCATTGATGCAAATAAAATCTATCTATACTCAACAATTATGGTGTGAAATGATATGTTTATTTGATATTTTATATTATATTATAGATCTATTTTTGGGTGTGTATGTTTTATGAAGTAATATATTTTTCTTATGCTACCACCTTCATTAAATATTTGACGTTGATCATCATAAAGAAAATAAAAAAATCCAGAGGAAGTATAATAGAAAAATCTAGTTTAAAATCGTTGTTTTCTTTCGGTAGTTTCACTAAATATTTAATGTTGGCAATGTTTTTTAAAAAATACAGAGGAAGTTCCAGTAGTACGTAGTACGTATACATGCAGTATGCTTTTTCTATTTAACTCGTACGTACGTATATGCCTTCTTGGCTTATTCCGGCCATTATATTTAGGTAAGTATTACCTGGTAAATCAGGAGAGATAGATTACTATTTATAATGGATCTAATCTAACGGTGTAAACTAATGGGTCCACCAACTTAAATGAAAATCGAGGGCTAGTTTTTTTTCTTTTTCTTAGAATTTCTAAGATTTTTTCTATTTTATTAGAGCGCCATGTGGCAGCTTGAGAGCGTTTTTAGAGCGCCATGTGGTGGCATGAGAGCGTTTTTAGGAAGTTTAATGGACTTTTAGTATATAAAGATAGATAGATAGATAGATAGATAGATAGATAGATAGATAGATAATAGATAGAAGATTTAGCTTGGAGAGTGGAGTAAGTGGGCTGTTGGAGATGCTCTTAGCGATACCCAAAACATTGGATCCTTAAACAATCATATTCCTTCAGTTCATCAAATTGCAGATATATGAACAACGACATTGCATATATTCTAGGACATAATGAGTGTTTAATTGCTCCATAAATCCCTGTGCTATACTCCCTCCGTCCCAAAAAAAAAAGACAAACCCTGAGTTTCCGTGTCTAACTTTGACAGTTCGTCTTACATGAAATTTTTTTATAATTTGTATTTTATTGTCGTTAGATGATAAAACATGATTAATATTTTATACGTGACTTGTCTTTTTAATTTTTTTCATAATTTTTTCAAATAAGACGGACAGTCAAAAGTTGGACACGGAAACCAGGGTTTGTCTTTTTTTCGGACGGAGGGAGTACGTGTAGAGGATTTCCTTCTGCTTCATTTAGAGGGGCACTGTAACTATCCCCTGACGTTAGTATAATATTCTTTATATAGGGCCTTGTTTAGTTAGAGAAAAATTTTGGGTTTGATTGTCACATCGGATATACAGACATACATTTAAAGTATTAAATATAGTCTAATAACAAAACAAATTACAGATTCCGCCAGGAAACTGCGAGACGAATTTATTAAGCCTAATTAATCCGTCATTAGCAAATATTTATTGTGGCACCACATTGTCAAATCATGGTGCAATTAGTCTGAAAAGATCGTCTTGTAATTGACATGCAAACTGTGTAATTGATTTTTTATTTTGTCCACATTTAATACTTTATACATATATCCAAACATTCGATGTGATGGGTAAAAAGTTTTTACTTTGGGAACTAGACAAAGCCGCCTAAGACGAACCATATCAAAGGGGGCAATTGCGTTTTGCTCAGCTTTTAGTTTCAATTGTGATTTTGTCCCTATTTCAAAAGGGATTTGTGAGAGACAAATTAATTTCTGCGCTCATTTAATTGTCCCGTGACCTCAATCTCTCACGGGATCCAGTGCGCTAGCTAGCCTCCAAACACTTACACGCCACCACACGCATCAGGAACCCATCAACATCTGCTGTATTGGGTTGGACATCCAGGAAAAGTTTGGCTGAGTCCTATTTAGCAGCTCCAACCGATGACTTTTTCGTTTTCGTCAGTATATTTTTCGAACAACTAAATTATAGAGGTCTACAATTTAATAATTATAGAATTATAGATAATATAACATGCTATGCTTGCATAATATTTAAGATGTAATAATTATTAGTGGATGATGATATGGTAATTTTATTGTAAGATAGTAAGATAGGATTTACGGGAGACATTACACTACAATTAGCTACAATTAGAAAGGTACTTTAAGAAATTATTAGTAGTAAAAAGCAAACATGGTGCCAGTACCCATATAAAATTATATATTTTTTAATATGATTTTGCTTAAAATTTATTAAATAGTTATCTCGTTTTCTTAAGATTTTGAAAGACCAAACCTCGCTATCCTCGTGTTTCTAATTTTATTGTTTTTAAAAGTTACATCAGTTGCTACCCCTTACTTCTGTCATATTATTTTTTATTAACTTGCTGGATCTACCACTGGAAATTGGATCTAAAAACTTTTAGTTTTTAAAGTTTATTATCCTGTTGGGCTTCTTTTTTATAATTTCTAGATGTCCCATCAAACGCTGCCATTATACTCCTCTACAACCGTCTACTGCATCTTCTCTTTATTGTCATTGCTATTTTAAAAATCGAACATAATTATTGTTTAGGTTTATTTTTTTTACTTTCTATCAGTTCCGCCAAAACGTTAGGGACTTTTGTCACTGTACTCCTCTACGGCTCGCCCGCTGCCGCCTTTTTTTATTGTCATTGAGATTTTAAAATCAAACATGATTATCATTCAGGTTCATTTTTTTTTATTTTTAAGAAGACCGAACCTTTAAAAATTGAACCTTATACCTTATAGTTTTTAGAGTTTTATTGTCTCGTTGGGTTTCATGTTTTTATAATTTTTAGAAATCCCATCAAACGCTGCCCCTATACTCCTCTATGATCCATCCGCTGCATAATCTTTATTGTCATTAGGATTGTAAAAATCGAACATAATTATTGTTGGAATTCATTTTTTACTTTCTAGAAGACCCACCAACCATCGGCGGCTCTACCATTGTACTCCTATACGGCCCGTCCGCTGCCTCTCATTTTTATTGTAATTGAGATTTTAAAAATCACATGATTATCATTGGGGTTTATTTTTTTACTTTCTAGAAGTCCCCGCCAACCGCCTTGACTAATTGCTTCATGACATGCCCGTCGTCTTTCTTTTAATCGTCATTAGGATTCTATTTAGTGTTTTATTAATAGTTTTTAGATGTCTCATCAACCGTCACCACTCTCCTCCTCTATAGGCATGCTACTTCATTGATCTCGTCATATATTTTAGATGGTCTTTTCTTTTAATAGTCTTATTGTTTATCACCAATTTTAGTTATTTACAAATTGTATTCCTAGTTTAAATTTTTTTTCTTTTTCTAATTTTGAAATTTATTTTATTTATTATTATGTTCTTTTGATATTTTTATTTTTTATTTTCAATTTCAGTTGTTTCAAAATTGTATTCCTACTATTGGGTTCTTTTTTGTCTAATTTCGGATTTTATTTTATTTTTATTCCGAATTTTAATTAATCTACTATTGGGTTCTTATATGTACTTTTATTTCAATATTGCTTATATTTAATTTCGAATTTAAGTTAATTTTAAATTGTATTCCTACTTGAACTCTTATTTTCATTTTTTTTCTAATTTTGATTTTTTTTATTCCAAATTTTAATTAATCTTGTATTGAATTCTTATATGGACTTTTTTTTAATATCGCTTATTTTTAATTTTAAATTTCAGTTATTTATAAATTTTATTAATACTCGAACTCTTCTTTTTTCTTTTTATAATTTTGAAATTTATTTTATTATTATTTCGAATTTTAGTTAATCACGTACTAGGTTCCTATATGGACTACTCTTTCTATATTGCATATTTTTAATGCTGAATTTCAGCTATTTTTAGATTGTATTTCTACTTGGACTCTTCCTTTCTTTTTCTTCGATTAATGTGGGAATTTCTAGCCTCTACAGCGAACGTGGTGCCTCCTTTCAAGGTTGTTTTAATAATATAATAGGTAGATAGATAGATGCTACTGGATGTCAGAATTAAGATGGTAGGTATTAAGGTATATATGTGAAAACGTCAAAGAGATCTGTTTGTCAAGACCAACAACTATCAGCACATGCGTTTAGATCTGAAAGTTGCAAGGTCAGTTTGAGTACTTCATAAATTATTACTACAAATTTCCTACTTTCTGTCGAAAAGTTTTATCAACTAATTTTAAATCAGCAATAAGAGTTTAGCTCTACTCATTTAGCGTATTTAGTGACATCATATTGTGTACATGTAGCATGCAGTTACCGACGAAAATAAAACTTCTATATATGCTAATTGTTTGCACGACTACATGACTTCTATGCGTATTGTTAATTTGAATTAGAGTCTCCATTTACCTAATTAGATTATCATACCTCTAGTGCATATATATCATCTTGGAGCAAGAACAATTCAACCTAATTAATTAATGCGACCAGTACTTATCAGTCCTTAATATCCTTTTCACTGATTCAAGGTGCATGAAAATAGACAGGAAAAATTAACAGGTTGAAGAAGTAATATTGACCGTTTCACGTGTAAAATCTGCAACATGCATTGAACTTTTTATCCAGTGACATGTATATATAGGCCAGCATATGAGTGTTCTGCACTGTGAAACTAATTAAGTAATAGATTTTGAGTAGCTAGATATGGCAAGGTTCTCAAAGCTACAAGCTCTGTTTCTAGTATTGCTCTTTCAACTTAACTTGCAATTGCAATGGTCATATGGTCTTCAGACAGATCAAAGCCGAGTAAGCCACTTCATGTCTAACATGTGCATGTTTGTCTGTGTCTATATATGTCATTTCAGGGAATGAACTACTAAGGGGGTATTTAGATCTAGGGGTGTAAAGTTTTGGCGTGTCGCATCGGGTATTAATATAGGGTGTCGCATGGGGTGTTGGGGCACTAATAAAAATACTAATTACAGTATCCATCAGTAAACCGTGAGACGAATTTATTAAGCCTAATTAATCCGTCATTAATTAGCACATGTTTACGGTAGAGCCATATTGTCATGGAGCAATTAGGCTTAAAAGATTCGTCTCGCAAAGTAGTCACAATATGTGCAATTAGTTATTTTTTAGGGTTATATTTAATGCTTCATACAGGTATTCAAACGTTTGATGTGACAGGGTGTAAAATTTTATGGTGGGATCTAACTAGGCCCTGAGAGGGGTTTATACGGATAGCGAGATTGCCCACTTGCTTTCCTATGAAACGTTTCTCAATAAATTAAAGTGCATGCTTAGGCTATGCTGATTAGCGCCAAAACTGTTATATTTAGAATGTCTTTGAATTGTTTGTACTGCAATATTATATATACATCAAGTTCTTAACTTATCCATGACTATGTTTTCTTCAGCTATACATCGTTTACCTCGGTGAGAGGCAGCACGAAGATGCTGATCTTGTCACTGCATCACACCATGATATGCTCACCTCAATTCTTGGGAGGTAATTGCCAAAATCCATAATAAGATATTGCTCCCTTTTAAGTAGTAATAAAACATTTTCTTCACTTGTGAGAAAGCCCAGATATTGCAGTTAAGTACTCTATTTTTTTTTCGGGAATAAGCACGTTACTATATCTTTATATTAAGCTTGCAAGGTTTCCAACCAGCTTACATGTAGAACTTTATGTAAAGAAACAAGTGATATTTTTGAGTTTTCCAATGATTTATATTGTCAATATATTAGAGACGCCTAATTAATTGATAACAACTTTCGATCTGAAGCAAGGAGGAGACTCTCAGGTCGATTGTCTACAGCTACAGGCATGGTTTTTCTGGCTTCTCTGCTATGCTCACACAATCACAAGCCAGAAAGATAGCGGGTAATTAATCAATTAATAGTTTGTTTGGACATATATTTGGTGTTTTGGGATGATAATTAAAAGCAAACATGGATTGAAATTTTGTTCCCTCATGACAGGCCTGCCCGGGGTCCTCAGTGTAACTGAAAACCAAATATACAAAACGCATACAACACGAAGTTGGGATTTTCTTGGACTTGATTACAAGCCGACAAATGGGCTGCTCGCGAAAGCTAGATATGGAGAAGGCGTGATCATTGGTGTCGTTGACACAGGTTAAATAATTTAGTAAAAATATACTTTTCCAATAATCTAAAAATCAATGCTAGCTGCATGTCAAACATGACAAGCTATTACACCCGGTGTCCTTTGTGGGGTGAGAATGGGAGGAATGGGGTAATTAAATTAGTACAAATGAATTGCCTATCTTCTGGCTTAAATTTTTAGGTGAATCATATCTAGTGCATGCAAAGCGCTAAAATGTTAGTTTGAATTTTAGTTAATTTGGTTTTGTGTTTGTAGGAATCACACCCGAGTCACCAAGCTTTGACGATGCCGGATATGGCACCCCTCCATCCAAGTGGAAGGGGATTTGCCAAGTAGGTCCTTCATTTGGTACTAACAGTTGCAACAGGAAGATCATCGGTGCACGGTGGTACGCTTACGATGTCCCAAATGGCACGCTCGACACAGAAGTGCTATCACCCAGGGATGTCCATGGGCATGGCACCCACACGGCCTCAACAGCCGGTGGTAACATCGTCCACAATGTTAGCCGTCTCGGGCTAGCGGCTGGCACAGCGCACGGTGGCGCACCCCGTGCACGGTTAGCCATATACAAGGCTTGTTGGGCCACACCTGACGGCACTGGATGTTCTGGCGCTGGCTTGTTGAAAGCCATGGACGATGCTATCCATGATGGTGTTGACATTTTATCACTTTCCATTGGTGGTCCGTTTGAACATATGGGCACACTGCATGTTGTTGCTAATGGCATTGCTGTTGTGTACTCTGCTGGGAACGATGGACCCATCGCTCAGACGGTGGAGAACTCATCCCCGTGGTTACTAACGGTGGCTGCAGCCACCATGGATCGGTCTTTCCCTGTGGTTATCACCTTAGGAAATAATGAAAAGTTTGTGGTATGCATATATTATTACGCATCCTTGTTTAAAACTCATTTATTCGATATATACATGCAATCTATTTGTTGTCCATCTGTTAATTGTCTGATTGCCTCTATCTGGTGACATTGCACTCCTGCAGGCACAATCCTTCGTCGTAACAGGAAGTGCGAGTCAGTTCAGTGAAATACAAATGTACGACAATGACAAGTAAGCGTGGGAAATAAATTAACTAACTACTTCATCTATCCACAGATATAAGAACTTATAGTGTTTTAAATTTGTCTCAAAATATAAGTACTTCCTCATTTAATTTTTCATCCGTACGTTTTACCGTCAAATGCCCGAAACACACTTCCACTATAAAATTACCCCTCATCTAACGAAAGGCATAATAGGATTTTTAGCAAGGAAAGTATCAAAAATAATTTTCTCTCACGGCATATATTGTCTTTTTGTCATAAATATTCCAATGAAATATGTATGATGGATGGTCCCCTCCTTCTGTAGCTGCAATGCTGACAATATCGACAACACTGTGAAGGGGATGATCGTTTTCTGCTTCATCACGAAATTTGACATGGAAAACTATGATAGAATCATCAACACAGTGGCCTCCAAAGTAGCCTCCAAAGGAGGCCGAGGGGTTATCTTTCCGAAATACAGCACTGACTTATTCCTCAGGGAGGACTTGATCACTTTTGATATTCCATTTGTCCTCGTGGACTACGAGATTTCTTACAGGATTCGCCAGTACATCATGTAGGTAACTTATAACTGTGGGAGTGTATGTAATATAAGTATTATATATGTATCATGTTTATGTTGACCATAAGCTACGGATCATACACCACATGAAATTAAGATCATGGCAAAGAACACAGACATGCATTATCTCGGGACGGGGAATTTCGTTTTTGCTTGTTCCAAAATTTTGAATTACTTTTGATTATGTTTCTTATATAAGTATTAACTTTTTAGAACGTACATTATTATCTTTACTTCCATCGATACTTCATAAAATCATTTTCTTAAAATATTCTTTTACACAGAAATAATGAAAATGGTAACATCCCAAAGGCGAAGATATCATTAACCAAGACAATGGTGGGAAGTGAAAATTCTGCTCCCAAAATAGCAGCTTTCTCATCGAGGGGCCCTAGTTATATCTATCCTGGGGTTCTCAAGGTAAGACTGAAATTATACACAGTGTGTACCCCATCATTAAGCTTAATATTACTAAAGGCATCAACAGAAGGGACAAAATGACATAATAATATCTAGCAATATGCTAGCTTGCTATTTAAAGAAAAGATAAAGCAAAGAGAACTCTGCGAAACATGCTAAAATGAACAATATAGATTTACAGGTGCTGAGTTGATAGCAATATCTTGGAAAAGTTGTTGCAAGATCACTGTTCATTTTTCAATGGAATTAATGTAGTCAGAAAAATAGTACAACGAGCGTAGAATATTTTAGCTCTTAGCTGGGTATTTTTTATACAGAGGAAGGATCACTTTCAGCCTTTGCACCAACAATGCTCATAGCCATATTTGTGTATATCAGGATTCAAATATACGTGATTTTTTTAAAAAAGTTGAAGTGCCATACTCAGATGCTATAGCCATTTTAAACAATCTTATAGTTGATTTGATCAATATTTTCACATTGGTCAACACTCCATTAACATATCACAACGTTCTTCGAAACTCGTAGCCAGACATTGCTGCACCAGGGGTTGCGATTTTAGCTGCTTCACCAAATACTCCAGAGTTCAAAGGTGTTCCCTACCGTTTTGATTCTGGAACATCTATGGCTTGCCCACATGTATCTGGGATCATTGCCGTGCTCAAATCCCTTCATCCTGAATGGTCACCTGCTGCCCTCAAATCTGCGATTATGACTACAGGTAACAGATTAATTTGTTTTCAAAAGAACATGTTTGACCTAGAATTTTTGTGCTAATATTGTATGTCAAACATGACATCTAGACATCATTTGATGTATAGAATTAATAACATTTCAATCAATATATATCTTGCATGCAGCAAATACCTTTGACAACAATGGGATGCCTATGCAAGCTAATGGAAGAGTTCCAAAGATTGCCGATCCGTTTGATTATGGAGCAGGCTTTGTTAATCCGATCATGGCGGCTGATCCAGGCCTCATCTATGACATCAACCCATTGGATTATCTCAAGTTCTTCAATTGCATGGGAGGACTAGGCTCACAAGACAACTGCACGACGACAAAAGGATCCGTGATTGACTTGAACCTGCCATCGATCGCCATTCCCAACCTTAGGACATCCGAAACTGCGGTGCGCACTGTCACTAACGTTGGTGTCCAGCAAGAGGTGGTGTACAAAGCTTTCCTCGACCCTCCTGCTGGAATCGAGATGGCTGTCGAGCCATCAGAGCTAGTGTTCAGCAAGGACAAGAAGGATCAAAGCTTCAAGGTGACCTTCAAGGCGACACGGAAGGTCCAAGGGGACTACACGTTCGGAAGTTTGGCATGGCATGATGGTGGCAGCCACTGGGTTCGAATCCCCATCGCAGTTCACATTGTGATTGAAGAGATATACTCCAATATTTCCTAATTTGATATGCCAGCTTCATATAATGCTAGTTGATCAGAGATCAACTATAAATAATGAAGAAGAAATCAATCATATGCTTCATACGTAGCATGTGTATCTGCAATCAGGCTGGATGATATCATTCCAGCTCCAACCAGTGTATATTTAAGGTTACAATGAATAACTTTATGTAACCCTATATTAAATGTTTATTTTGAATAATAGACTTCCTATATATGTGGCCAAAGCCATCGTGATGAAAAAACTTAATCTGTGTTTTCAGGACAGGGGAGTATGAATGATAACACAGCCCAACCTCTGAGTTTAGGGCAATCCTGTGATCGGTTGGAGTTGGAATTGAGAAGCGACCAAAACACCACTCTATCCCGCCAGTTCATATATTTGTTCGGAGCGATTTGATGCGCTCCGCTCAAATTTTGAACAGATATAGATTGTTTGGTTGAACTCTAGCTTTAGGTAAAATGAATCTAGGAGCTGGAGTTCTGCCAAATAGGCCCTTAATGTCAATTACAATAACACATACTGATGCTCATTAGGGTTGGGTACAAAATGACCAAAAACCATATCAAAGTAGCGGTTTTTCAGTCTTGTTTTGTTCTATTTCCCTTTGGTCTTTGTGGTTCTGAGTTAAAAAAACAGATGAAGTCAAATAACTGTGCATATATTGGAAAGTTAGTCCAATGTCCTCCTGTGGGCCTTTCCAGAATGAAAGTCTCAAGGCCAAAGCCCACTAACCACCACTACATCATGTCCCTTACCCACTAACCCGTATCGCGCAATTGATTGCTCGTGGCGGAGGTGCGTGATAGGGAAAAGCACGCGGACACGTAGATGCATTTTCTCGTTTTCAGTTTGCGCATTCATAAAACGGCCGACGCAGCCGCGCCCTTCCCCTCGCTTCCCTTTCACGACGTCGCCCAACTGCCACGTTTGGGTACACAAAAGAAATCTATGACTATTTTTTGGCCCATCAAACTATATTTTTCCCTTTAAAATTTCTAGGATGTGGTAAGTAGGGATAAGTACAGGGTGGGGAAATTAATGAAACTAATTTTCAAATGATAAAAGCTATAACTTTCTCCACCAGTTTGTACTGAATTGAAAAATCAACTCAAGATGTCCAAAAACAGAAAATAAAAGACGTTGAATTGCACAATGAAAACATGATGTGGAGAGAAGAAAAAGAGAGAATTTGAAGTTGCTTGTAACATTCTGACCGTTGAAGTAGCTCAAAACTCAAACCTGTAATAAGAAAAATATTTCATACATTGTTATAACTTGAGAGAGTATCGGGTGAATCAAACCAAATGTTGGAAGAGGTGAAAAAGAACCTCATTTAGGATTTGCAGATGGCATAATCTCGATAGAGGATATTTGAAGGGATCATTTTGCAAAAAGTATAGCCCGAGTCAAAGAAGTGAGGAGCAATCATAGCCGTATGTACAAGATGCAATGATGAAGATAGCAGTTTCCAAATATTCAAAGTGTGTTTTCACCAGATATGTTCTCTTATAACTTATATGAGCAAAAAATGTTAACAAATAAGCGGCAAAAAAAAAATACGCACAAAGAAATAAAAACATGCTAAAATGTGTAATTTCATACTACTCACAATGGTTGTGTGAACTAAGCTTTGAATAAGTGAAAAACTGATGGTCATACATGACAAATGCATTGTTCATGAGTGTGAAAACTTTATACCTACAAACTTTCTACTTGAAAACTTTATAGCTACAAACTTTCTACTTACAAACAACATATTTACGAAAGTTTCTAGCTGTAAAAACTTTAAATGCATCACTTTCATGAGGGTGAAAAAACTTTCGTGCTCTGTGTTTGTTGTTACCGAATCCATCCACCAGTAAAAAAAAAAGCCTAATTATAAATGAAGGTGAAAAAAAAACCTTGTCATATCCCAATCCTTTCCCCCTAATTTAAATTAGGGAAAATAATGCTATGCAATGAGAAATGTTCCAACAACTATAATTTTTTTTAAAAAAAATATTAGCTCCTAGCTCATCTAGCATGGGTAATTATAAATTTTATGATCATAAACTTTATAGTTAAAAATGTTCTTCTTATAAACTTTCTAACTATAAACTTGCTACTTGTAAACATTCTACTTATGAAGTTTCTACATACGAACAATATACATTCTACCAGGATTAATTTTCAAATGTAAAGTTGAATGCTAACAAATGATAATAACCCATGAGTTTTTCATCATGCAATGCATGAACATCGCATGGCACATCAGAGGGGGATCATTTGTGCTTATGAAAACTATACCTTAACTTTGTTTATTGTAGAATCTGAAGGCTGGTTTGCTTCAAATCTGTTAGTTTTAGATTCTCCCGAGCAGTTATGTTTACTTATGGATTGTTCACCAGTGGCAAACTTGTTTGGAACATAATGTGAATTTGAACATTTTTCCTCACTACTGTCTGAATCTTCAAGCAAATTGTTAGCATCTTCCTCCAGATCATCCATACTACCTGAATCACCTAATGAAATTTATTATCTGGGCAAAAAAAAAAGGTAAAGGTGATGGTGTGAATATTGGGTTGTTATAAATCATCAATCAATAAACTGCTAATCTTGCCATATGATCTATTAAAAAAAATAGTGATCCCTCTACCGTATCGCACGCACACAGTAAAAATATATGATGTAATGTCACAGCCTGAATTTCCGTTTTAGGATTTATAAATTATTTAATAAATATTAATAGAATTTATATTAAATGTTCATTAATTTACTAGTGAAGTTAAATGTGGAAAATAAAATTTCCTAAATATAAAGCATGGATGGATTTAATTTGTATTAAATTCTCCATGATTAATTATACTCTCTGAAATTTTCTCGGATTTTTCGGAGCTCAATACCTAATTTTAATAATACAAAGAACATTTCAGTAATTATTCACATATTAAATTAATCATTAAATGGTCTGGTTTTAATATTATTAAATACTTTGAGTGTCCAAGTATGTTCAAGATTTTTCTTGGAATTATTTGAGCATTGTAAGTATTTTTAACAATTCAAAGATCATTTCGGTGATTAATTTAATTGAAAAAGTAAATTAAATCCCCTTTTCCTTTTCGGGCCGAAAAAGGAAAAGTTCTCTTTTAGTCCTCAGCCCATCCTTTCTTTCTCTCAGCCTTTTTCCAAAGTCTAGCTTGAGTCCTCTTCAATCGGGCTGTGACAATAGAGCCCAGCCAAAAGTCTAAATTTCTTCCCTGCACTACTGTTCATCTTCCAGCTCAGGCAGAGGCCGAGCCAGCCGTGCCGTGCACAGTGCCGCCGCCTCCCCCTTCCAAAATTCGGCCACCCCGTTGCTCCTCTTTCCAAATTAGTTGCGGGAATGGAATCCTCTCAATCTCCTCTTCCTTTTCCCCAAGAAATCCTCAAAAGTTTCTATGGAAACCCTTTCCAATTTCGCGGTTCAACCTTTCCTTTTTCCGGCGAAGATCTAAAATTTCCCGAGTTTTTCCCGTCGTTGTGGGCTCGATCCCGGCCTCCCATGGCTATATAAAGGACCCCCTAGTCGTCCTCTACCTATCCCCTCAAGTCGCCGGAAACCTTCTCCCCGCGAGCTCCTCTCTCTCCCACGTCGCCGGCCAAATCCAGCCGCCCCTGCCGCCGCGTCAGCACGCCGGCCGGCCGTGCTGTCGCCTTCCTCGGCGTCGCTGCCACCTCCTCTACCCCGGCCATTGGTTCTTTTGCGCCAAATCCCACCGGAGGTAGCCCGTCATCGTGAACCGGAGCGCCGCCGTCGTCGCTGTGCCTCCAGCCGCAGCAAGCACCCGCCTTAGCCGCCGCTTTTGGTCGCCGTCGACTCCATTGGGTTTGCAGCTGCGAAGTGAAGACCGGCCACCCTTCCGTTGTTGCCGCTCATCGCCGGAAAGTCGTCGCCGCCGTGGACAGTATCTCGTCGCCCTTTGAAGCTTGTCGCCGGCCATCTCCCGTCGCCGCCACCACTGGTGAGTTCGCTGTGTCCTCCTATTCCTTCCTGTGCCCTTTGTTTCCGTTGGAGCATCACCATTGGTCGTCGCCGTTGTTGTCCGGAGCCACCGGCCGTCGTGCCCGCGTGGCTGCCATGTCAGCCGCCACGTCAACTTGTCCATCCTCCGTGGCGCCCATGCGTTCTGTCCCACGTGGTAGCCCTTAAAACCCTAGATTGGATTAAATCTAATCCGTTTGATCTTGGTCAACTCTATGTCAAGATTAATCTTAGCCATTCAAAATCAGGCTGTGTTTAGTTGGATCCAAAGTTTGGATTTTTGTTGAAATTGAAGATGATGTGACTGAAAAGTTGTGTGTGTATGACAGGTTGATGTGTTGGAAAAGGACTGAAGTTTGGATCCAAATTTTGGATCTAAACACAGCCTCAATATAAATCCGTTCCCTATTTTCCGTGGCATATTATTTCTTTTTAATATATGTCATCTACCAAATATGATCTAATCTTTTTCCGGAGGTTGTTTTAATCTTTTATCTCAGTTATAAATCATTTGTAAATTGTTTAATTAATTTGTAATAGTCTTTTCTTTAATAGGTTTAATTGGAATTTAATCTTGTAAAATTTGTAATTAATTCATATGAAATCGGAATGAGGTCGTTCAAGTCTCTAAATTCATCTAAAATCATGATCTACATGTTTGTTTACTTCATATGTATTGTTTATTTGGTTTTTATTAGTCTTTTTCTTCGTTTTGCGTGTTAGCTTGTCGTTTTCGTTGTTTCGAAGGTCCGTGAGTGCGTCGGGAATATTCAAGAAGATTAATTGAAGACCGATTATTGCAAGACAAGTCACACAGATCCCAAACACAATTCCTTTGAGCATGTTGATCCTATATTTAAATTCTCTATTTATTTCAACTGTGCATTTATTTTTGAATGTCACCGGGTGGTGTGAACCTATTCCTTTGTTATGGCCAATTTGCATTGATTACCCTATTTCTTGATTACCTCGGGTTATAATTTGACTAGTTGGATTTATATATTGGTTCAACTAGATGTATTAGATATAATTGCTTAGCCATGCTTAGAAACATTAGCACATAATTGGGATAACTAATGTTTCACTATTACTTAATGATGGATATTTAGTGATAGCTCACGATGGTCAATCGTGATTGGTTAATTAATTAATGTGTCAACTAAAACTTGATAATGGTGGGTTGTGAGCACATGGTTTTGATGGTCGTGCTC